GTCGTTTGGTTGCTCCATGGCTCCACTAACCCGTGCTTTTCGAATTAGCCGCTACGTCGTAATCCATATTGCGTGTCATGGGGTGTGCGCGAGGTATCTCGTCCATTAGCTCACATTAGCCGTCATTAGCTCACTTTGTAAGGCCCTAGCGCCATATCGTGCACTTTCTGCCGTGACAACTACACAGTTGTGATGCTCGAGGGCTATTAGATCCTTCCCACAGAATAGATTGCTCAACCCCACCTCATTGGGCATGTTGCTTTAAGTGCAGTAGATCACGTCCACATGGGCAGTCCCTAAGAGGTACAAGCATATCATTCTTCTTCACTTACATGATGCTATGCGATTGCGACTCACTACCGGTAACTATGAGTACGATTACCTACATATTTAGACCTCTTTTGATTTACAGGGATCATGTCATCACTTTTCAGCCCTGGTTTTTGCCGCCATCGAACAGCCGTATGAATTACTACGTAGGAACTTCCATATGAGCGAAATACGTAAAGCCGAGGTAACTTTACCTCAAATACTTTCAATTCTGGTTCATTTTGACACACCAGCGTTTTTTCGGCTAGCTTTGAAATTTTCCTTCTTCCTTAATATATACGTTACAATCGCTACGCCCCTTCCGCCTGTGCTCACTTCCATTTGAGGGGTCAGCATCTTGAGAAATGGATGCGTATGTACAGTATGGGTGTGTGTAGTGGGGAAGGAGTGGCTCATGTCGGGGTTAGGAGGAGGGGAGGGGGAAGAGGATCTTAGTGAGTGAACTACTTTCAGTACTTGGGACTGAGCCTTAGTGAGGCAAAGGGATTTCGGGAGAGGATGTTGGCAGTTTTTATTTTCACCCCAGCGTTTCGTCCCTATCATGGGTTTGGTCCTAGTGTCACGTACTAGCGGTTTGAATGCCCTGTTGTGAATATCCCCCCCCCACCCCAAGGGGCATGAGCGCCGAGGACGGTATTACTACAAAATGCCACATTATTATTAGCGCTCCGCACGTTAGACCTTGGACCACCTAGGCCCCCTGTGTGCCAGTCCGGTCCAGCACATTACGGGTACGTAAGAGCCAGCGTTCCACTACCACAGCGAAGGGCTCGACAAATTTGATCTTATTTACATTCAAGCGCCACTTATCAGGACTTATCACCTCCCGTCACTTGATCCCTCTTCCTTCCCCAACTATGTTTTCCAGCTGGACGCCGGCTTTTGTAAAAAAGCCAACATTCCATATTCTTTTCAGGAAGCGATCAAAGCCTACGATGTGGAGGTGGACCCGTATAATGAGACGGCCATTGCCCTTATCGACCATCTGACGGAAGTGACGTTTGACGCTTTTGAGGCAGGAATCAGACCCAGTGGTATGTGCACATGGAACTGGAAAGTTTTTACTACCTTTGCAATTTTGCGAGCACACACCAGGCAAGGCGTTCAGAGTTTGGCAGAATAACATCGCGAAAGTTAGGCGATTAAATTACTGTATAGGAAAGGGGATTACGTATCCATTGGAAACCGCTCGGTGGGCCGAGGAAGCAAGAACAAGAACGTACGCTTTTCCTTATCGCCTACTGCTCGTTATAAATCGCCCAGTTGACGCTTGCGCACGAATACGGGGCCATTGTGTGGTAAGCAATATAAACCGCACAAAAAAATATGCTGCCTTCTTGATTAAAGGGTCTCAGCCTGATAATAGATCAAGGGGGTGACACCAGCTGTGGCGGGCCCTGTTTTCGTTTCTCATGATCCTGCTCCCGGCTTACCCTTAAAGGGATGCCCCCCATCTTGCGATAGCGCCTAGTCGACACATATACTTCATTTGAAAAGCCGTCGGCCTAAATTGCGCGCCAAAGCGCCAACTCTGAACGTGCCTTGAGCACTCGTTACACATTTTGCCGTCCCTCTGACAGATTCTGATTCTGGGCATCAGGTTTTTTTTCCAGACCTCTACAACAACTCGTTCCGTTCCAAATGGAATCTGGCGTCATCGCTTTTCTTCACCACTACTGTGCTTACGTCCATAGGTACGAAATTGAAGGATAGCTTTTGTTGTGTCAAACATTTCCCACTCGCACTTTATTTTACATTTACTCAGTAAAACTGTTGCTTTGAAATGAGTAGAAAGGGAACTGTAGACTATCGTCGTTGTCATCCTTGTTTCTTCGGTGTCTTCGAACAACTGCTACAGAGGGCTTTGTCATTGCGCGTGAACCCTTAAAGGGAGTGATCACAATAGTTGGGGGGGGGGGGAGTGGAGGGGTTTTGATGGCGCCATTGAACGTTATTGGTGGACTCGGCCCTCCAACGCGCTGGCGGGAGGGATCGGGCCACCACTGAGCCCACCAGTGACGTTCTATGACGTCATCAAAACCGCACCGCCCTTTAGTCATCGGATCATGATCGTTGTCTTGGAGTAAGGAAGTTTAGGGTTGTGACAAACATCGGACAACTCACATTCGTGAACTTTTCTCACGTAGTCGGGCACGATCTCGCCGTGGTACTGATCCTTGCCGGCCCTCACTTTCTCATCGGGGTCTTCTGAAATCCGAATCAATGAATGCACAAAAGGCGCTCATGTCGTTAAGGGGGGGACATGCATGTGAGTGAGCACTTACAGTACTCGGGAGCTTATTGAGGGGTAGGAATTCTCGAGGAAGATGGAACAATTTTTGCTTTCCATGACGTTTCTCCCCTCTCGTGGGCTAGTCCTAGCGTCACCTTCCGAAGGTTTTGAAATGATCTGTTTTAAATGGTCCCTCACCTCCCCCCCCCAAGCCATAAGGCCGCAGAGAGAGTTCAAAAGAGACATCTCGAGTCATCCCGAAGGGACCCCCAGTTACCGAATGCGCTCATTCTGAAATGAGACTCTAGATTAGTGCTGAGCTGTTACTAGGTAGGAATGAGACCAAATCAGCTACAGGAGTACAAACAAACCTCGATCCATTAGTAACTAGGAGCAAATGAAAGTGACTAGGTGTGATTCCAGAGAATCATCCAATGATAAGGTTAATGTGAGCATCTGATCCTTGGTATTTCAAACCGAAGCATTATCACAGATTCCCATTCAGAGATAAGTAATAATAGTATCGCAACGCTAATGGGCGTTCATAGTTGGCGATCGTACGTGCGGTTAGGCGATTAGGCGATCAGGCGATGACATAA